GACACTGAAGACTGGAGTAATGGATGCTGAAAATTCAGCTTTGCCTTTACAGAATAAATTACATTTTAAAATATATTAAAATAGAAATTTATTATTTTGAATTGTAATAATATTTCATAATATCATTGTCATTACTGTATTTTTGATCAAGTAAATGCAGCCTTGGTGAGCATAAGATACTTCTTTTGAAAACATTAACTCTTACAAACCTCATAGTGTAGATACTGTAGAAACATAATAAGAAACCGACTACTTTTCAGTAATGTTTTTTGTATTGCATTAAACTTGACTGTTCAGATATTGTCCCTGAAATTGTGTGTGCATGAACAGGGTGGCGACCTCTTTGATGCCATCACCTCCTCCAACAAATACACAGAGCGGGATGCCAGCGGGATGCTGTATAACCTTGCCAGTGCTATCAAATATCTGCACAACCTTAACATTGTTCACCGTGACATCAAACCTGAGAATCTTCTGGTGGGTGGTGGAGTATTACAGAAAGAATATTGTCACTATACAGTAAATCACAGTGTTACTTTCACAAAGGCAGCTTGGAATGACACTCACATCTGAGAGAGGCAAAGGCAATATGTTTTTATGGAGTGCAGAAACCTTAAATAACCCTTCTTACACAAGCTTTAGAACAACGATAACTTAACTCAATACTGGGCCTAGTTTACCCAGCTTATAACTTCAGACACAACACTGTGTTCAAAGTAGTGTTTGTCTAATGACAGCATGAAAAACGTCTCGGTTATGTACGTAACCCTCGTTCCCTGATGGAGGGAATGGAGACGTTATGTAGTGACGACATTAGGGGTCTTACTTGGGAGCCCAAATCCTCTCTGATTAAGAGAAAACGCCAATGAGATGTGGCTAGTGGATTTTGCATGCTGAGCCACTCCCCGTGTATACGGGTATAAATAGGCGACAGGTGCATCCACTCATCAGGTTTTATGCTGAGGAGCCGAGAACTTGTCCCTGACAACCAGCGATGGTTTGAGGTTGTGGCATGGGGACATAACATGTCCATTCCCTCCATCAGGGAACAAGGGTTATGTACGTAACCGAGACTTTCCTTATCTGTCGGTCACTTCGAGTTATGTCGTGAAGACATTAGGGGTCCATGGAAAGCGCCACAACCTGAACCCCATCACAACCCTATGGCGTTGCAAGTTTTGACATGCCACAGACAGGTGCTACGCAAAGGTCGTAACCTTCCCAATCCCCGTGTGAGGGGAAATGGCGCTGCTAGCGTGACACTGGCCGGTCCTTCCCGCCAATTACCTATAACCCAACACACGGGAAGAAACCGGCTCGACGCAGAGGTTGTAGAATCTCGCAAAGGTGTTCGGTGTCGCCCAGCATTCAGCTCTACAGATGTCTGCCAGAGAGGCGGGCATGGCTCACCTTGGAACTGGTACGCTAAGGCGATGGCATCCACTATCCAGTGGGCCAACCTCTGCTTGGAGATAGCCTTCCCTTTCTGCTGACCTCATAGCAGACAAAGAGCTGCTTGGAGCTTCTGAAGCTCCGGGTGCAGTACCAGGACGGTAGAGAGATCCCAGGAGGGCACCAGGGATGGCCTAGGCGGATTCAACCTTCTGGCACCCCTGGTGATAAGATTGTGCTTTCCCAGGGACCGGCCGTCCACTGCATCCGTGATGTGCTGCGACAGCAGCCACATACACTTTCAAGGTGGAGGGTGACAGCCTACACTCCAACCTTTCTTGCAGGAAAGCACTACTCCAATCGTGCATATTCAGGGGTCTTCTTGGCGAGAAGAACACCAGTTCACGAACAGACTCCACTTCAGTGCATAGGCTTGCCTCGTAGAGGGAGTTCTAGACTGAATGATGGTGTCTACCACCGCAGGTGGCAGACCACTTAAGTCTGCCGCGTCCCGTCCAGGAGCCACACATGGAGGTTCCAAAGACCTGGGCACGGGTGCCATAGTGTGCCGTGCCCCTGAGAAAGAAGCAATCCGAGCGGCGTGACTGCAGCTGCGAATGCCATATGCCCCAGGAGCCTCTGAAAGTGTTTCCGTGTTACCACCATCCTGCCTCTGAAGGAACTCAGTTAGTTCAGCAGTGACTGGGCATGCTCGTTCTAACTCCACACTGAGAAAAAGGGATTCTCTGCACAGGGGAGAGCATGCTCTTTTTGCAGTTGACCCGAAACCTCAACTGGGTGAAGTGCCGGAGCACCAGGTCCCTGTGGTGGCACAACTGCTCTTGCGACTGGACCATGATGAGCCAGTCGTCGAGATAGTTGAGGATCCTGATGCCCACTTCCCACAATGGGGCAAGGGCGCCCTCCGCGACCTTCATAATGACACGGGGGGACAGGGACAGCCCGAAAGGGAGGAGGGAGGAGGGAGACGAGTGGCTTCTGGTCGAAAAAGGGGCCGTCCACGACTTCGTCAGCTCCTCGTGCACCTCCGTGAAGAAAGGAACCGGGGCGGGGCGTGGTCACGTGCCACGGCTTGCGCCGAGGAACCAATCATCCAGCTGTGAGGGTTCGGGACTGGGCGGTGTGCACACCTCCAGCCTGATACTCACGGCAGCCCGGGAAAGCATGGCCATCAGTTCCGGGTCAGATTCGGCAGTGGCGACAACATCCGAGGGGGGCAGCCCCGCCGAATCTTCATCCTCGGAAGATGACAGCCCATCCTCCGATGCTGTGATCGACATCTGATCTTCCCTTGAAGGTGCCCCTCTGCTCCCCTTGAGGAGAGAGAGGCACGATCGCAGCGCAGTCATGGACATACACTCACAGTGAGCGCATGAACCATCCACGAACGCATCCTCAGCGTGCTGGATGCCCAGACACTGAAGACAACGATCGTGGCCATCAGTAGAAGACAGGTAACGACCACACCCAAGAGGACATGGTCGGAGTGGTATCTTTAAAAAGACACGAACCGACCATGATCAGAAACTGCTCTTTTAGATGAAACACCCAGGGGAATCGCTGAGTTAACAGGGGTGCCGCTGAACGTGTCGTAACGTCACCCAGAACAGCCTCTTCTTCCAGCAAACGAGAGAATTCACCTGGGGAATGTCGAGTTTCCTTCATTCACTCGGCTACGAAGCAAAAATCAGATGAGTGGATGCACCTGTCGCCTGTTTATACCCGTATGCACGGGGAGTGGCTCAGCATGCAAAATCCACTAGCCAAATTTCATTGGCATTTTCTCTTAATCAGAGAAGATTCGGGCTCCCAAGTAAGACCCCCTATGTCATCACAACATAACTCGAAGTGACCGACAGATAGGGAAAAATTTGTTCTCTTTTGATGGATTTCAAAAGTTTGAGGTTTTAGTGTCAGAAACAAGAGCTGAATAAGTCAGCAAAACATGCAGAAAGACGTGAAGATTACGAGAGTGTTAGATACCTGCGAACATGTTTCAAGATTTATTATTCATCATATCCCATTCACCAGAACAGCTTGTACCATATGACCCTGCGTGCAGCTTTATGAAAGATACAATGACTTCGTGCCAGTTGATCTCAAGACAGGAAGCACATATCACCCTAAACAATAGAACAGAGAGACTTTCTCACGTTCAGTATCTCTTGATCAGACATCCCTGATTTCCACACCATGCTCAGATTACAGCTGGCTGTTATAAAACACAATAGCTATCGGGAAGTATTTTTCCTATTTTTCTCCATTGATGCTTAAATGTCTAACTAAAAGGAGAACAGAGATGCAGAGGATGTGATGATCATCAAAACAATGAGGTGAGCAGTTAACCTAACTGACAACATGAACTGTAAACATGAACAATAAAAAAGACCCAGCCATGAAGTTCAAATAATGCCAAGCAACCAAAATGACATATACAGCGGAAAAAAACAGAGAGAGAGAGACTGCAGAGCATTCGAAAGATCTAAGCACAGGAAACCAGAGAGATGAGAGAGGTTTCCTGTCTGCTGTGTTGGACAGAGGGAAGGTAGCACCTGAAGGTTTGCTACACATTCCTCAGACATAAATAAACTGCTCTGCAGACCCACACACAATTGCACAAAACGCTATGTTTTCGCACGAAGAACAGCTTACATGTAGGCGCATTTTGTCTTGAAGAAATCTCACCCATACACTGAGAATCGTTCAGAGGACTACTGAAGATCATGTGAATGGGAAGAGAAATGTAAGAAATAACAAGAAATAAAGCATTCATTCCGAGCCAGTCAGATCGCTTGGCTGTTTGCCCTGCTCTCACCTTCTCACCTTCTGACCTGCGGTGATGGACTGTCAGCTTACTGGAACACACGCAGTGCCTTTCCAAGGGCAGCGTAGTTCTTTTCGATTTGAACTGATATCTGATATGGTGTTTCTCTTCTCTCTTTACCAAAGACCTTCCTATAACAGTGACCACAGCCCACATTTAGAGTTTTAAAGAAAAACTTGGTTTCAACCCTGTTTGAATCCTCATATTTCCTGAAAATGAGATCACAATGTGTTTGGAGATTTACCAACCTGCCTTGATTCATATTCCAACATTAACTGAATATGAATTCTGTTTTTCTGTATTTCAGCTAACGGAACAGCAGGTAGTCAGCTGTCGACCCCACGGTCAGGCAAATCCCCCAGTCCATCTCCCACCAGTCCAGCCAGTCTGAGGAGACGAAGGGTGAGACCTGTCACTCCAAAAACCTTTCACAACATCTGCATTTTCTGTAATGCACTAAAATGCCTTTAAAGTGGACGCAACTTATCTACATTTGCAATGTTTTTCACTGCATCAAGCAAAACCATCAAACGCTTTTATCTTTCTGATTGACCCTAATTGTATTTCAGGTGCTTTAATTTGCCTATATAGGTCTGAATCACACTGAATTGCAGTTAAACACATCCTTTCTAAATAATTCCACATTCACCCAAAATGTATCCTAGCAATAACAGACAAGATTCTTGACCTGGCTGTATGCCGGCTTCATTTCCACTCTCTCTATGATAAACCTAAATCATGTCAACATTACCCTGTTTTTCTGCTTTGCTAACTTATGGTATTAAAGAAGATGTATTTGCTTGTGTTCTGTAGCTCAAACAAGTGAAATTACAGTTTTAACATTCTGTTAAATTTGTTCCATTTACTGTTCCATTTAACTGCATAATCTCAAAAAGCTAGTTGATTCTCACAACAGTGTCAAAATGGTGGGCTCATCCTGAATTATTATTTTTATTTAATTATTGGAGTAATGGCTGCTAAAAATGCAGCTTTGCCATCACAGAAATACTGTAAATTACATTTATTTTTTTGTGTATTCACATAGAAAATAGTTATTTTTAATTGTAATAATATCACATTAGTATTGTTTTGCTGTATTTGATCAAATCTTACCAGCCCCAAACTTTCGAACAGTAGTGTCTATACAAGAATCTATACACATGCCAAAGATAACTTGAAATAGCTTTAAATATAGTTACCTGCAGAAAATGAAAAATTCTATTACAGATAATTTTCTGAAATGTAGATGTAGTACCTGAAGACAAACATGCAACATTGTTTCAACAGAACAGCCTTTTGAATTAATATTCGGTGCGGCTAATATAGTCTGACTGAAAATGTGTTCATTCTTGGTCGATGGTGTGTTAAAATAAATATGTCATGTGTCAGTGGATTAAACATCGCTGAATTTCACCTCGCCTGCCCCGCTCCAGACGTGAATATTCTTAGCACACCCAAGCTGTTTCCATAGAAACTGACCTTTATTTCCCTCTGCAATACCTCTGCTCAGTTTAAAGGGATAGTCCATTCAAAAATTAAATTCTGTCATTAGGGCCTTTCGCACCGCGGGAACCTTTTCATAGTACCAGAACTAATTGTGGAACTACCCACTTTTTGGCGTTTTCGCACCGCCGGAACTGGGTGCGATTGTAGTACCGGACTGCCTTTTTCGAGAACCAAATTAGCTCCTACTCCGGAGCAGGGTCTAACCAGCACAACTGGTACTAATCGTGACGTAGGTAGACATTGATTGGCCAAACGCGTATGAAAACGCCCTCACCTGCCATTATTTAAAACACCGTGTAAACATACTGTAAACATTGTGTCAACTTATTTCGCAAGTATGGAGAACAGCGATAGATGGACGGACGCTAAAGTGCAGGCAGTTGTAGCAAATGTAGCACTGCCAGTTGTCGTTGGAGATTCTTAGTCCTCCATTCTTTCAATCGCTTTACGTATACGACGACTTTCCATGTCCATTATTGTGAATCCCGCGAGACACAACAAAAACACAGCTCCGATCACAGCGTCCTCCATCCTCCTGTTGTTAATGTTGTTCTTTGTTTCTGTTGTTGAACGCCGCGCACAAATGACGACCGGCTTACGTCACTTCTTAGTACACGCTCTCTGTGCGAATGCAACCCTTTAAATGGTACTGGGAAATAGTTCGCGCAAAATCGTCCCAGTACTTTAGTGTACTGTACATTTAGTTCTGGAACTAAAGCGGTGCGAAAGGCCCTATTTACTCACCCTCAAACCTGTATAACTTTCTTTCTTCTGTGAAACACAAAAGAAGACATTTTGAAGGATGTTAGAAATGAAAAATGCCCATTTTCTTTTGACTTCCATTGTATGGACAGGAAATACAATGAAAATCAATGGGAATTGAAACTGTTTGGTTATTGACATTCTTCAGAATATCTAATTTCATGGTCATCAGAAGAAAGAAATGTATACAGGATTGGAACGACATGAGAGTGAGTAAATTATGACTGAATTTAAATTTTTGGATGTACTGTCCCTTTAAGATATGGGTCTATTTAATACAGAATATCAACATTTATGTGTGTGTTTTTTAACACATTTTTATTGCAAAAAAGACGGATGATAACATGAAAATATTAATAGAAAATACATTTTTATATATATTTTACCTCCCCACCCCCACCCCCCAATGCACCCAAAAATTCAGTTATACAGGTAAAGAAGTTATTATACAAAGGCTAAGACGGACATATCCACACATTTTCAAATACAAAAGCACAACATATATATGCATATCAATCAGTAGAGTGAGAGGTATTTATTGCCTGTGCCAATATTTGGTTATTTTCCAGAAACTGTATAAACAGATCCCAAATTTTATGGTAGTCCTTTAGTTTGCCCTTTATACTGTAGGTTATTCTTTCCAATACAATATGATATGCCAGATCTTTCAACAAAATTGATGGTTTATATAATAACTTGTTTAACAATATTTCAAAAGACAATGACAAAATGAGTTAGTCTTCTCACTAACCCCCCAAAAAAAGTTGTAAAATGGCCCTTCAATTTCCCTGACAGGGCTCTCAGCACAGTGGCTCCTCCCTCTCTCTGGCCTCCACCAAGGTGTGCAGCTCCATGGATGAGGGCGATGGGCCGGGCAGTGAAGGTGAGGAACCCTGGGAAACTCTGATGAAAGTTTATCATTATTGTTTTATCATCTTCATCTGAATGATACATTCCAAATCTTTTCTTCTAGCTGAGCTGATGGAGGATTGTCCTCAGGTTCCTGCTTCCATAGCCGAGAGGTACAAGGTGGGACGAATGATTGGCGATGGGAACTTCGCTGTGGTCCGAGAGTGTGTGGAGAGATCCACAGGCCGAGAGTACGCTCTGAAGATCATTAACAAGAGCAAATGCAGAGGGAAGGTAAGACGTTTTCTAAAAAAATCCTATTCAGTGACGACAATGCACTTTATTGATATCACACAAAATAATGATGCAAGATCATCTGTGTTACATCTGTGGCTCACAGGAACACATGATCCAGAATGAGGTGTCCATTCTTCGGAGAGTGAAGCATCCTAATATTGTTCTGCTGATTGAAGAAATGGACACATATAGTGAACTCTACATGGTCATGGAGCTTGTCAAGGTGAAACATCCAACATTCAGCTCAATACATTCGTTAAATTTTATTTTATTTTTTAAATTAATTGTTTTATTCAGCAAGGATGCATTCAATTGATCAAAAGTGACAGTAAAGACAATTGTGCTTGTGTAATGTTACAAAAGATTTCTATTTCGCATACATTTCAAACTTTGAAAATTCAATTTTCTATTTATCAAACAATCCTGAGAAAAGATTGATCATGGTTAACACAAAAATATTACCTATTATTATTAATCAGAATTGTACAGCAGGAAATAAGTTAATTAGAAAGATTTCTGAAGAATCGTGTGACACTGAAGACTGGAGTAATGGATGCTGAAAATTCAGCTTTGCCTTTACAGAATAAATTACATTTTAAAATATATTAAAATAGAAATTTATTATTTTGAATTGTAATAATATTTCATAATATCATTGTCATTACTGTATTTTTGATCAAGTAAATGCAGCCTTGGTGAGCATAAGATACTTCTTTTGAAAACATTAACTCTTACAAACCTCAGTGTAGATACTGTAGAAACATAATAAGAAACTGACTACTTTTCAGTAATGTTTTTTGTATTGCATTAAACTTGACTGTTCAGATATTGTCCCTGAAATTGTGTGTGCATGAACAGGGTGGCGACCTCTTTGATGCCATCACCTCCTCCAACAAATACACAGAGCGGGACGCCAGCAGAATGCTGTATAACCTGGCCAGCGCTATCAAATATCTGCACAGCCTTAACATTGTTCACCGTGACATCAAACCTGAGAATCTTCTGGTGGGTGGTGGAGTATTACAGAAAGAATATTGTCACTATACAGTAAATCACAGTGTTACTTTCACAAAGGCAGCTTGGAATGACACTTACATCTGAGAGAGGCAAAGGCAATATGTTTTTATGGAGTGCAGAAACCTTAAATAACCCTCTTACACAAGCTTTAGAACAACGATAACTTAACTCAATACTGGGCCTAGTTTACCCAGCTTATAACTTCAGACACAACACTGTGTTCAAAGTAGTGTTTCTCTAATGACAGCATGAAGAACGTCTCGGTTATGTACGTAACCCTCGTTCCCTGATGGAGGGAATGGAGACGTTATGTAGTGACGACATTAGGGGTCTTACTTAGGAGCCCAAATCCTCTCTGATTAAGAGAAAACGCCAATGAGATGTGGCTAGTGGATTTTGCATGCTGAGCCACTCCCCGTGTATACGGGTATAAATAGGCGACAGGTGCATCCACTCATCAGGTTTTATGCTGAGGAGCCGAGAACTTGTCCCTGACAACCAGCGATGGTTTGAGGTTGTGGCATGGGGACATAACATGTCCATTCCCTCCATCAGGGAACAAGGGTTACGTACGTAACCGAGACGTTCCTTATCTGTCGGTCACTTCGAGTTATGTCGTGACGACATTAGGGGTCCATGGAAAGCGCCACAACCTGAACCCCATCACAACCCTATGGCGTTGCAAGTGTTGACAAGCCACAGCGTGTCAGACAGGTGCTACACAAAGGTCGTAACCTTCCCAATCCCCGTGTGAGGGGAAATGGCGCAGCTAGCGTGACACTGGCCGGTCCTTCCCGCCAATTACCTATTACCCAACACACGGGAAGAAACCGGCTCGACGCAGAGGTTGTAGAATCTCGCAAAGGTGTTCGGTGTCGCCCAGCCTTCAGCTCTACAGATGTCTGCCAGAGAGGCGGGCATGGCTCACCTTGGAACTGGTACGCCAAGGCGATGGCATCCACTATCCAGGGGGCCAACCTATGCTTGGAGATAGCCTTCCCTTTCTGCTGACCTCATAGCAGACAAAGAGCTGCTTGGAGCTTCTGAAGCTCCGGGTGCAGTCCACATAAATGCGAAGTGCTCTTACGGGACACAGCAACGCTAGGGCTGGGTCTGCCTACTCCAGGGACAGTGCTTGCAAGTTCACCACCTGATCGCGGAAAGGCATGGTGGGAACCTTGGGCACGTATCTAGGCCGGGGTCTCAGGACAACGTGAGAGTAGGCCGGCCCGAACACAAGGCACTTTTCGCTCACCGAAAATGCTTGGAGGTTCCCGACCCTCTTAATGGAAGTGAGCGCGGTCAGGAGCGCTGTCTTAGCAGACAGGAATTTAAACTCAACTGAATCCAGCGGCTCAAAGGGATCCCTCTGAATGCCAGCCAGGACGGTAGAGAGATCCCAGGAGGGCACCAGGGGTGGCCTAGGCGGATTCAACCTTCTGGCACCCCTGGCGATAAGATTGTGCTTTCCCAGGGACCGGCCGTCCACTGCATCCGTGATGTGCTGTGACAGCAGCCACATACACTTTCAAGGTGGAGGGTGACAGCCTACGCTCCAACCTTTCTTGCAGGAAAGCACTACTCCAATCGTGCATATTCGGGGGTCTTCTCGGCGAGAAGAACACCAGTTCACAAACAGACTCCACTTCAGTGCATAGGCTTGCCTCGTAGAGGGAGTTCTAGACTGAGTGATGGTGTCTACCACTGCAGGTGGCAGACCACTTAAGTCTGCCGCGTCCCGTCCAGCAGCCACACATGGAGGTTCCAAAGATCTGAGAAAGAAGCAATCCGAGCGGCGTGACTGCAGCTGCGAATGCCATATGCCCCAGGAGCCTCTGAAAGTGTTTCAGTGTTACCACCGTCCTGCCTCTGAAGGAACTCAGTTAGTTCAGCAGTCACGGTTCATGCTCGTTCTAACTCCACACTGAGAAAAAGGGATTCTCTGCACAGGGGAGAGCATGCTCTTTTTGCAGTTGACCCGAAACCTCAACTGGGTGAAGTGCCGGAGCACCAGGTCCCTGTGGTGGCACAACTGCTCTTGCAACTGGACCATGATGAGCCAGTCATCGAGATAGTTGAGCATCCTGATGCCCACTTCCCGCAATGGGGCAAGGGTGCCCTCCGCGACCTTCATAATGACACGGGGGGGACAGGGACAGCCTGAAAGGAAGGAGGGAGGAGGGAGACGAGTGGCTTCTGGTCGAAAAAGGGGCCATCCACGACTTCGTCAGCTCCTCGTGCACCTCCGTGAAAAAAGGAACCGGGGCGGGGCAGGGCGGGGCGTGGTCACGTGCCATGGCTTGCGCCGAGGAACCAATCATCCAGCCGTGAGGGTTCGGGACTGGGCGGTGTGCATACCCCCTGCCCGATACTCACGGCGGCCCGGGAAAGCATGGCCATCAGTTCCGGGTTCGATTCGGCAGTGGCGACAACACCCAAGGGGGGCAACCCCGCCGAATCTTCATCCTCGGAATATGACTGCCCATCCGCCGATGCTGTGATTGACATCGAATGAAATGCTGAGACTGCCGCGAGATGGCTCAGACGAATCACAGGGAAACAGGACAGTTGCAGCAGGAGAAGTGAGAGGTCCGCGGGGACGGACCCGGCGGAGAAGCTCTCACTTTAACCCTCAGATCACCCAAAGCACCAGCCGGTGGTCCTCTGCTTGTGGCAGTGTAACCGGAACGGGTGGCAGAGAAACTGGAATGGGTGGTGACAGAAGGTGCCCCTCCGCTCCCCTTGAGGAGAGAGAGGTGCGATCGCAGCGCTGTCATGGACATACACTCACAGTGAGCACATGAACCATCCACGAACGCATCCTCAGTGTGCTGGATGCCCAGACACTGAAGACAACGATCGTGGCCGTCAGTAGAAGACAGTAATGACCACACCCAAGAGGACACGGGCATCTTTAAAAAGACGCGAACCGACCGTGATCAGAAACTGCTCTTTTAGATGAAACACCCAGGGGAATCGCTGAGTTAACAGAGATGCCGCTGAATGTGTCATAACGCCACCCAGAACAGCCTCTTCTTCCAGCAAATGAGAGAATTCACCTGGTGAATGTCGAGTTTCCTTCATTCACTCGCCTCCGAAGCAAAAATCTGATGAGTGGATGCACCTGTCGCCTATTTATACCCATATGCACAGGGAGTGGCACAGCATGCAAAATTCATTAGCCAAATTTCATTGGCGTTTTTTTCTTAATCAGAGAGGATTCGGGCTTCCAAGTAAGACCCCTAATATCGTCATGACATAAATCGAAGTGACCATCAGATAGGGAACAAAACAGCTCTGACAAAGGGTATTGTGCCTGGTGTGCATATTAATGTCCTGTGTGTTATGTTAAGTTGTGGAAGATAAGATTAATGAATGCTGTAAATTGACTCTGCAAAGATTACG